GGAGGGCTCGCCCTCCGACACCCCGTGCGTGGCTCCCTATGTCTGTGTCCAGGCACCTCTGATGCAGCGAGGGCTTAGGGTCCTTCCTCCCCACACCCCTTCCAGGCGGGTCTGGGGGGCACAGGCCGCCTCAGCTTCTGTGTGAGGAGGTGAGGGGCTGGACACTCCCCGTAAGGCTGCCGAGGGTCCCCGACGTCGACCCAAAGCAGAAGCAAAGCAGGAGAGGAGGGGGGACCCAGCCAGGACCCCGCAGCACAGGAGCGCGGGCTCCCTCCGGCCCAGGCAGACGGCCGCCTGGTGCCCTCCCCGTGCAGAGAATGTTCCTCCTCCGCTGGTTCCCGGTGGACCCGCTAGTGCAGCGGATGTTTTTACACCACGTGCCAGGATGGCAGGGTCTCGGCCGTGTCTGCGTGGGTGTCTGTGCGTCTGTGTGTGTCTGCGTGTTGTCTGTGTGCCTGCATGTCTGTCTGCGTGTCTATGTGTGTCTGTATGTGTGTCTGTGTGTGTTTCTCTGTCTCTGTGTGTGTCTGTGTGTCCATGTGCACACATACGGAGGCAGATGCGCAGTTTGCACACTGTCCTTGGCCCCCTGAGTTTTCCCCCTGCCTCTGGGGCTGTGTGGATGGTGGAGCTGATATTGAAGTTGATGGTCCACGCATCCGTCCGGGTGAAGAGAAGCCAGCGACTCACCATCAGCGGGAAGGTAGGACAAGCTGACTCACTCTGGGACATTCTCTGGAGGCCAATGTGGTGACGGTGCAGCCACTGTAAAATGAGACCCCACCCCTCAAACTGAACAAACTATTTACAGATGAAATGGCCCTATCTGGTGTTTGCTCCAAAATAATGTGGGAAGGGAAGAAATGGGTAAGAGAATAGAAGACTGGCCATGAGGTTCATTGGGCTCTAGTGCCTACATTTGTATGTGTTTAAAATTTTTTAACATTTATCTATTTTTGAGAGGGAAAGAGAGACAGAGTGCGAGCAGGGGAGGGGCAGAGAGAGAGGGAGACACAGAATCTGAAGCAGACTCCAGGCTGTCATCACAGAGCCCAACACGGGGCTGGAATTCACAAACCATGAGATCATGACCTGAGACAAAATCAAGAGTCAGATGCTTAACTGACTGAGCCACCCAGGTGCCCCTAAATTTCCTATCATAAAAAAAAAAAAAATTTTTTTTTTAATCAAGAAAGAAGAAAGCATCCCTACATATGCAGATGCACTTGAAATGCACTCTCTCTTTTGCTGACATTTTCTCAGCTTGCTATTTACAGACTCCTTTGGAAGCAACCCTGCCCGGCTGCTCAAGAACCGTGGGTGACAATGGCTGCCTCTCCTGGACACCTGCTCCGGCTGTGCTGAATATCCTCACATGGGTGCTCCCAGAAGCCCTGGAAATGGGGAAACTGAGGCCCAGAAGGGTCAAGTAAGTTTCCCAAGATCACACCACTCCTAGTGGTAGACAGAGGTTCCAATTTCCATCATCATGAAGTCAAACATCAGAGTGCAGCGTGCTCTTCCTACAGAGTCACTCTGGACGAGCCCCCTCCTCACCAGGAGCAGTGGGGTTGTACATACACCACGGACGACTCCCGGCCGCAGGCTCTGGTCTGGGAAGCTGGGGGCCGCCTTATGCAGGGGGGCCAGCAGGTGAGCTGGGCCCCACACGGTCTCCTCTTACCAAAGCCTCCGAAAAAGACCTCCTGCATCCAGACTGGACAGGAAGGAGCAGAACTGTGTCTTTCGGTGGGTGACACGATCTAAGATGGAGAATCCCAAGGGACCCACTTGAAACTATTAGAGCAAATGAATGAGTTCAACAGAGCTACAGGTACAAGATGAACAATCTTATACAAAATCTTGTAAAAAAATGTATTTTTACACCCCTGTAATGCATAATCCAAAAACGAAGTTAGGGAAAAAATTCTATTCATAATACCCTCAAAAATAATAAAATATTTAGGAATAAACTTAACAAAAGAAGCACAAAACTTAGACACTTAACACAACAAAACTGTTGAGGGCAGTGAAAGAAGATCTAAAAAACGGAAAACATCGCACGTTCATGGGTCAGGACACTTAACATCGTTAAGCCAGATACACTCCCACAGCGGACGTACAGATTGAGCGCAGTCTCCACCAGAACCCAGCTGACCCCCCACAGAAATCGCAAGCTGATTCTAACACTCGTGTGAAATTGCAAAGACAGAGAAGAATCAGAACCGTCGTGAAAAAGAGGAACCAAGTTAAGGGGACTCAAGTTCTGGTTTCAAACTCACCACAAAGCAACAGTAGCTGAGACTGTGCGCACGGAGACGAAGACCCGGCCGTGGAGGAAGGCACAGCATGCGCCTGGGGCCGCGGGGTGGCCGACAAGGCTTCGAGATGGTTCAGAGCAACGGGTGCGGGGACAGCGGAGCGGCCACAGCACAAGGGGGAATGTGGACCCCGGTCTCACACCATATGCAAACATTAACTTGAAATGGACCAAAGACTTAAATGTAAGTGACAAAAGTCAGAAAACATAGGGGTAAATCTTCATGATCCTGGAACCGGCACAAGATTCTTAGACCAACAGCACAGGCAACGAGAGAGAAAACACACCTGGGGCTTCAGCGAAACCACAAGCTTCTGTGCTCAAAGCCGCGTCAGGAAGGTGAAGGGAGGCGGTACGTGCCTCCGAAGGACTTGCCTCTGGAGGATACAAATCCTCCGACCACTGAATGATAGGACGGCAAGTCACCCAACTTAAAAATCAGCAGGGGATTTGAATAGACATGTGTCTGAAAAGAGGCGGAGAAAAGGCCAACAAGCACCTGAAAAGAAGCCCAACATCACTAGTCACCAAGGAACTGCCACAGTGAGACACCAGGCCGTCCCCACCTGGCGGGCGGGCATATGGACTGGGACACTGGAACCCCCTAGCGCTGGTGGGGGCAGAAATGGTGCAGCCTCCATGACGGTCTGGCACTTCCCCCAACGACCGCCCTAGGATGCAGAATTCCACTCCTAGGAGGATGCCTGGCGTGCACACTCGTCCCCGCGTTCACACTCATCACAAAGCCCTAGGCGGCAGCGTCCCCAGTGACCAGCATTGGCCAGTGGACACAAGATGTGCTCCCTCCATCCGCAGAACGTGACTCCACCATAAAGCAGTGAGGTCCTGACACAGGCCGCCTGGAAAGCATTATGCCGAGTGAGGGCGCGGCTGGTCCCTGCACACACGTCCAGACCGAGAGCGGGTTAGCGGTTGTCGAGGGCTGGACGTGGGGGACTGAGGGGTGGTTTCTGGTTGGAAAGATGCAGATGTCCTCAGATTGGCTGGTGGCAGGTGGGGGCACACACCCGCTGTGTGCTAACGTCACTGAACTTTACACGTCAACTGGGTGAATTGTGTCAGCAAAACTCTTTTTAAAAGGGAAAGAAACAGGCGTCCCTGGACCAAACTGGGTCCTCACCACCCACGAGGGTGGCCTGCATGCCACGTGGCCGCCACCCAGCCGCCAGCTTCAAGGCCTCACAGCTGGCTCTGCCCTTCGGGGAACCGCCTACAAAACCAGGTCAGGAGGCTCTCAATTTGTAGGCGCGAAGCATTGACAGCGGCCTCAGCAGGATGGGAGAGCAGGCAGGGAGGGGTCACAGAGGCAGGGGCGGGGCGGCCGAGCAGGCAGGGGCTCAGGGGCAGCGGCGGGGCGGGAGGGAAACCAGACCAAGGGACCTGGTAACACCCTGACAGCGGGGTTCCAGCCTCTCCCCACCCCTGCCAGGAGCCCCTCTCCCCAAACAGCGTTTTCTGAAGAGAACAAGCTTAGTGCCTGACGGCTCCATGCAGCTTCAAATCCCGGACCTCCAATGGGGACAGGAGGGAAATCGCTTCTCCCGCGGGCACAGAAGGACCTTGGCAAGACTCTCAAGGGCACCACCTTCAGGGCTCCTTCTGGATTCTGGAGGCCACCAGGAGGCGGGGCTTCCAGGAGCCCAGGGCTGCCCTCCCAGCCCCCACCCCAGCAGCAGCCAGGCAAGGAGAGGGGGGCCGTGCACCGCCTGGGACGTGGCAGGAGTGTGGGGTCCCTCTGCCCCCCTCTTCTTAGCCGGCGGCCCCCTCTCCTTGGGACTCAGGGCAAAACACTCCTTTCCACCAGAATCCAAACCTCTTTGCCCTGCTTCCCCGCCCCCCGCCCCATCCCAGGAGCACCCTCCCCCAGCCAGGCGCCTGCCCCAGGGCCCGCTTTCTCATCCCCTGTGCTTACGACAGTGGCCACCACAGCCAAGCCACGGACCTCCCCCCTCGGCCAGGGAATGGGGGGCACGAGCCATCCTACTACAGGCCCTCACACAGGGAAGACCCCAGGGCAGGTGACTGCACATTTGGGAATAAGTAGGATGAAGCCAGTCCAGGCAGGCATTAGAGACGAGTCCGAAACGGCCACGTGGCCCCAAACCCCCTCTGAACACCCATCAAATTCAAAACCAGCCACCACGGTGAACTGGCAAAATCAACCGCTTATTCTTGGAGCTGCGTCCCCAAAGCACCAGCAAACAGACGCCGAATTGAGATCATTCCTGAAAACACCACGTTCGTAAAACCTATCAAGGTTGGTGTTCGACCCCCCCGGAGCCGGTGGCCTGGACAGGCGGGGTCTCCTCTCTGTCAAGCCCTGTGAGCTGGGCCCTCGTGCTTTGCCCTTTTCCTGCCCTCTCTCCGCGGCCTGCGGGAGCCTATACATCATCATTTAATTTGCTAACCCCAACCCAGCCCACACCCTAAACTCTTCCTGTGCCGCAACTTCAGCTGCCAGGACCACCGCGTGAGGTTGTAGGCTGCAGCCTACGATCCTAGACGCAACGCTCACTTAGACCCATTGTGAAGGGAGCCCCGAGCCCCGAGCCAGAGTTGCACAGTGCGCAGCCTGGGGAACCCAGCCCCCATCCTAGTGCTGGACTGGGGCCGGGGCTTCCCTAGGAAACCACATGTGCATAAGCAAGCACATTCTTACCATTTGCCTTCTGTTCTCCACCAGGTTGATGCCAATCATCCCGAGGAAGGCTCCGAAGCCCAGCTGGCGGGGAAGGGAGAACAGGGAGAAGGTGCCCGGTTAGCACACCGAGCCCAGTGCAGGGAGGTTAGCACACCGCGGCCCTAGCATGGGGGGGGGGGGGTAGCAGCAAATCGGAGGCTGCCCCCCCAGGAAACATTTTATCCAAGGGGCAAAGCCGGCCAGTCGCCCCTCCCCCACCCACCTTCACCACCTGGCGCCCCACAAGCTCATGCCTGTGTGTGTGGGCATCTCCGGCTCCAGCAAAGCTGGTGGTCAGAACAGAAGCTGCCGAAACGTGACTCTTGGTCACAGAAGAAGAGGGTAGCACGTGGCCCTCACCTCCGGCCAGAGGACAGCCCCTTCGCAGTAACCCAGAGGGTGGGGCTCCCTGCTCATTTCCCCCACGCCAGGCAGCAGCCCCAGTCAGAGGCTGGCTCCCCGGGGAAGATGTGGGGACCAGGCGCCCATGGACGTGGCTGACGCCACTCACAGGTGAGCTGGCAGACAGGTGGCTGTGGGGAGGGGCGGGTAGAGGAGGAAGGAGGCTCCAGCAGGGGAAGCACAGTGACAGGCTCTGTCCGTCCTGGAGAAGCCTCAGCTCCTGGCCCCTGCCCTCAAAATGAGGGCTCCAGGACGGGGCTGGATCCTTCCACTGAGTGTAGTTCCCTCGGCTTGAGTGACGGGGACAAGGGACGACAGAGGTGAGAGGCTGGCCAGGCGAGCCCCACCACCGTTGGCCTGTCTGAGCGTGGGCGGCACCGCCATGGATGCTCAAGGCCACGGTGTTAAAAGTAATGCGTGAAAGTCCGACCTCCTTATGGCTACAGAAGACTGCATCTGTGACGGTGTCTGTGGAGATGGACACCTGTGCACAGAGGAAGTTTCCGGCAATAATTTAAGAATTCTCAAGGAGGAAAGATGAACGTTTTCTTCATGTCCAGATCCACAGCTCAAAAACACCGGAACTCCAGGCCGACACGACCCTATTAAAGGGTTTCTGTTAAGTTTCACCGACTCCCATCCTCTTTCCAAGAAGGTGGAGGCGCTCGGAGCCTCCAAGTTCCGTCCTGAGAGCCTCTCTGCCGTGTCCGCGTGCGACGCGAGGGCCACAGAAGCGACTTCTACCCGCATGTTCTTCAGGTGAATTTCATCTGGCCTCCGCAGTTCACCTTCAGAACCAGCCGCTGCCCGGGAACCTGGCTCCGTCAGAGCCTTGACCCGGGTCCTCCCAGCCCTGGCCCACACCCAGGGGTCCCCCCACAACACCCGGCAGAAAAGTGGGGTCCCAACATAGTGGCAGTTCTTAACTTTTTACTGATAAACCTTCTGCACACACTATTTATGTGTTTACTCTTAAGCAATCCACAGGTAGATCGTGTAAGTTTATAAAACACAGACAAAAAACAGAAAAATGAAAATTAAGTATTAATATAAAGATGAAGTGGGGGTGCCTGGGTGGCTTAGGTGGTTAAGCACCCGACTCTTGATCTCGGCTCAGGTCACCATCCCCGGGTCGTGGGATGGAGCCCCGTGTTGGGCTCTGCGCTGACACCACAGAGCCTGCTTGAGATTCTCTCTCCCTGTCTCTGCCCCCCCGCCTCCCACACTCTCTCCCTCTCTCTCTCTCAAAAGAAATAAATAAACTTAAAAAAAATTTTTAGAGACGAAGTGAACAATATACACGAAATATTTTTAAATATTTCATGTCAAATATTTGTCAAATAAATATTTAATGTCAAAACCTTTACATCCTTGCTAAAAATGTTACCAATATTATTACTTATCTTGATACTTTGAGTGAGAGTAGTGTGATTAAAAGAAATTCATTTTTTTTTTAATGTTTTATTTATTTCCAGGAGAGAGAGAGAGAGACAGCGTGAGCAGGGGAGGGTCAGGAGAGAGGGAGTCACAGACTGAAACAGGCTCCAGGCTCTGAGCTGGCAGTCAGCACAGACCCGATGCGGGGCTCGAACCCACGAACTGCGAGATCATGACCTAAGCGAAAGTCGGACGCTCAACCGACTAAACTACCCAGGTGCCCCAGAACTTCATATTTTTAAAAAAATCTCTATTTAGCATTTTTGACACAGCAGTTCACTTATGCATTTTAAGGGCATAAAGCTGATAAAGGTCCGTCCACAGACTCCTGTCCAGTGGGGGCCCTTGGGGAAAATTCTACCGCTCACAACAGGGGACGTGAATTCCTCGCTCAAAAAATCTCCTTGATAATTCTGGATTTGGGTGGCCCTTCTTGCCACATCTGACTAGGCTGTCCCTGTCGGTGCTGAAATCTGAAATGAGTGGTGGACATCGCCCTCTGCTGCCACCCCCACGAGGTGGAGTGATGAACACCCCCACCCCCACGGGGGCGTCCTTGCAGGACTGGATCAGAGCTGTGGTCGGTGCGCTCTCGCGGGGCTGGTTCCCTGCGCCCCCTCCTCCCGCCCCTGTCCGGGCCCACAGCCCTGCTGGCCTGCCTGCTCGAGGCCCCGTCAAGGCCGGACAACCAGCAGCCGCTACCCGCCCAGGGCCCTGGAGGGGCAGACTCTGCCGGCCACGAGCCCCGACGTGGCCTGTGCCGCCTCCGTGCAGCCCTCCCGCACAACCCGGGGCGGCCGCACTCACAATGACCCCTGGGTAGTAGCCCCCTACAGTCACGTTCTCTGTCCTGGTGGTGGCGGCGAGGCCGATGGCCAGGATACAGGCGGACGCCAGCAGCAGAGACCCCACGAACCAAAGGGAGGTCTTCTTTCTTCTGGCAAACGCTTCTGGAAGGAGGACAGAGGGGTTCGTTCGTGAGGCGACGGGCTCAGAGCGGGGTCCCAGCAAACAGCACCCACCTTGCCAGTCTCCCTCCTTCCCAGGTGCCCCGTTTCTCTGTCTGGGGACTCGGGGTCTCCCTTGTCACCTGCCAATCCACCCGAAACGTGTCCTCCCCGAGCCTGGACGTCCCCCGCCCTCCCCTGCACCACCACGGCACCCAGACCCCCGCTCCCATGCTGACTGCCCAGGCCCCGGACCCCCAGACAATGAGCCCCGCAAGGGCAGTGGGGGCGTGTTCTCCCTGCTGCCTGCAGGGGAGGCGCCGGGGCGTCAGTGCCGCCAGGGCTCACCACAAACCAGCATCCGCCCTTGACTGCAAGCCCCACCGCAGACGTCATGCCCGACCATCTTCTGAGCACCCATCGTGTGTGGGGGCCCCCTAAGCACTGACAAGTATCCCTGGGCGCCCCCCGTCCTCCCCCGTGGCCTGCATCCACCTGCAGGACCCCCTCAGCCCCAGACCCTGAATGGCTAAATGAGGGAGGGGGGAGGGGAGGGAGGGGCAGAAAGGACTCAGGAGTGCGCGGGAGGCTGCCAGTGCCCACCCAGACGCCCATCCCCCCTTCCCCTCACTAACAGGCCCCTTACTGGATGCGAATGTCAAGGGTGGCACCACGCAGCTTCTGTTCCAGCCCGAGGATTACATTCTTGACAAGTAACTACCCATCTAATCAAAGGAAGCTCCGTGGGCCCAGCAGGAGATCTCTTCAAGGAGCCTGCCCTTTGCCTTTCTCCCTGTCATCCTTTCCGCTACCTGGAATGTGAGCAGGAAGGCAGCCCCTGGGTTCCGTCCGAAGCTGAGCAGAACGAAGTCCCCAGACCATGGCTGCCACTTTGGGTGCCCCGGGCTTTGTAGGCAAACCTCATCCCAGGTGTCACAGAATTCAAGAAGGCAGCCAGAAAGGAGACCTTCCCATGGGCTGGCCCGCCTTCACGTCTCCGGTTCTGGGTTTCTTGTTGCCCTTCCTTCCCTGTGGGTGTGTCTCGGGGATGCAGGGGTCCCCCGTTTACAGCAACCCCGCCCCCCAGTCACCGCCACACAGGGAGGCAGTTGGCCGGGAGAGGCCAAGGCGAGACTCCACCCCTAGTCCAACCAGGCCACTGGCCTGTGTTTTGTTTTATGATGGTTTCTTTTCTTTTCTTTTCTTTTTTTTAGAGAGAGAAAGAGAGTAGCTGGGGGAGGGGCCAGAAGGAGAGGGAGAGAGAGAGTCCCAGGCAGGCTCCTCACGGTCGGCACAGAGCCCCACACAGGGCTTGAGCCAATGACTCTGGGACCATGTCCTGAGCCCAGATCAAGTCACTCGCTTAACCCACTGAGACAAGTGGGCCAGGTTTCTGCCTTTGGAAGCTTCGCCATCCTGATCCCTGTGAGTCCAGAACCAAATCAGGATGAGAGGAAAACAGGTGCTTCCTCCGCCCTGAAGTTGTTACGTCAACATCGCCCGTGCTTGGTGGGGAGGCAGCCCCACGCGGGAGTTTCCGCGCTCCGGAAAGTTCGTGTCACCCTTCTGCAGCCCCGTCTGCAAAGCTCAGTGGCCAGTCAGGTCCAGCGCCAGAGGCCGGGTCGGTGCGCACTCGGGAATAACCCACACAGAGAAGACATCCCCGTGCAGGCTCAGGCCCATGTGCTCCTCTTGTGCCGTTTGTCCTAACTCAGGGCATCGCGCGTTCCGCCCAAGACCACCAGCCGGGTGCCGCAGCCTCCGTTCCCGCCGCAGCACGACCGCCCATGGGCCGTGTCTCCCAGCCCCTCAGCGGCAGCTGCCAGGAAGAACGTCCGCGTCAGATCCACGAGTGACACTCAGACACAGCGATCACGGAGCAAAAAGCTAAACGCATCTCCTTCGGGACGGTGACCGTCCCCCTGGGGCCCATCCCGTCACCGTCTCCCCAGTCGGGCTTTCCCGCCCAGGCTCGGGCACTGGAGGCGTTGCCGCCCCGCCGGCCTCTCCGGGGGGGCCAGGTCCCGAGGCTAACGGGAGCCCAGGGCAGCTGCCTCACGCGTGCAGGGCACCGGGAAGCCAGGCTTCCGCCAGCCATGCTGTCGTGACTCCAGACACAACACAGATGACGCGAGGAAGAATCCTGACCCCAAATGCTCCTTATAGACAGGAGATGCCATAAACCCAAGGGAATGAGAAATGAACTCAACAAGAAGGCAGGGCATTTTTACATTTTTACCCTGCGACTCAACTGTTAGATCAGGTTTTGGAGACAAAAAGGTTGTGCGCTGAAGGAAGCCCCCCAGAGCCCCCTGGAACTCCCCCCAGAGCCCCCTGGACCGCCCCCAAGAGCCCCCTGCACCGCCCCCCAGAGCCCCCTGCACCGCCCCCCAGAGCCCCCTGGGATGCCCCCCAGAGCCCCCTGCACCGCTCCCCAGAGCCCCCTGCACTGCCCCCCAGATCCCCCCTGGACGGCCCCCCATATCCTCCTGCCCAGAAGCAGGACTCTTAGCATGTGGGGTTACAAACGGCGCACCCTTAAGACCGCGCCCTGACGGTTTTGCTACAATATCTCCCGTCCGGACTGTGGCACTCAGGCAGCTGCCTAGACTGGCCAGGTGATGTCCAGCTGCCCGGAGGAGAAGCCCACGGAGCGGGCTTCTGTCTGTCCTGTTTGCCGCCAGACCCCATGCCTGGCTCAGACAGGCAGATCTGGAGGCACAGACCTCAGTTTCCCAATCCGGGAAGTGGAGATGACGACAACGACCTGCATGCCCTGCCTCCTAAGTGCTGCGCAGCCTCAGCCAGAGGACACCTGGGAAAGGCCCACACGCGGTGTGAGCGGAGCGAGTCTGTCCATCAGGGCGGAGGAGACAGTACACTGTGCACAGGGGCCCTTAGCTGGCAATGCAGCCCCCAGGAGGGCAGGAGCTTGAGGGGCTGAAGGCCACCAGCCACGCCTCCCCGTGGTACTCACGTCTGTCCCTGCCTGCGTGGCCACCCCTCCTGGAGCATCTGAGGGTGCCACGTGGGCGCTCCCCTACCCTGCACCCCTTCCCAGCCCTCCCCTGTCCTGCACCCTCTTCTCAGCCCTCCCCGCCCTGCACCCCGTCCCCAGCCCTCCCCTGCCCTGCACCTCTTCCCAGCCCTCCCTGCTTGCACCCCCTTCCCAGCCCTCCCCGCCTGGCACCCTCTTCCAAGCCCTCCCAGCCTTGCACCCCTTCCCAGCCCTCCCTGCCCTGCACCCCATCCCCAGCCCTCCCCGCCTTGCACCTCATCCCCAGCCCTCCCCGCCCTGCACCCCTTCCCAGCCCTCCTCACCCTGCACCCCCTTCCAAGCCCCCCCTGCCCTGCACCCCTTTCCCAGCCCTCCCCGCCCTGTACCCCCTTCCCAGCCCTCCTGCCCTGCACCCCCTTCCCAGCCCTCCCCGCCCTGCACCCCTTCCCAGCCCTCCTGCCCTGTACCCCTTCCCAGCCCTCCTGCGCCTGCACCCTTACCCAGCCCTCCCTGCCCTGTACCCCTTCCCAGCCCTCCTGCCCTGCACCCCCTTCCCAGCTCTACCCACCCTGCACCCCTTCCCAGCCCTCCAGCCCTGCACCCCCTTCCCAGCCCTCCCTGCCCTCCACCTTGTCCCCAGCCCTCCCGCCCTGCACCGCCTTCCCAGTGCTCCCGCCCTGCACCCCCTTCCCAGCCATCTCTGGAACCAGCTCCTGTGGCAGCCTGGCCACATCTGGAGGAGGGGCGCTGACAGGCTGCTGATCCCAGCACCAAGGGGGGGCCACCTGTAAGCCCCCCGTCACAGCCTCCCTGCCAGCAGGGCCTGGCCTCCCAGGGAGAAGAACGTGGTCACTTCCTCATGTGGGGACAGCTGGTCACAGAGGCAAAGAGACACCCCTGTAACCAGGCTGAGGCAGAATGGTGCGACTTGGCCGTCAGCTCTCCGCTGTCGGGCTTGGCGTGTGACGCGCCCCGAGTGCTGACTGCAGAGACGGGAAATAGGAAATACCTGTAAGGCCCCCACTACACAGGTTTATTTGGTATTTTTAAGTAAGAGACGAACTCCTGGTATTACTTTGTTAGGTTATAATTCCTCTTCAGAAGAACCAACTAAGTCCAACACTGTTTTAGTTTTAGACCCTCGTGTCACACCAACGTGACACGTGACGACAGCCAGTGAGACCGTGGTGTCACACCAGCGTGACACGTGACGACAGCCAGGGAGACCCGGTGTCACACCAGCGTGACACCTGACGACAGCGAGTGAGACCGTCGTGTCACACCAGCGTGACATGTGACGACAGCGAGTGAGACCCTTGTGTCACACCAGCGTGACACCTGACGACAGCTAGTTAACAACAGGCATCGTCACCATCACTAGTGAGAACCCACATCTGGAGGATGAGAGTGCACGGGGCTCAGCCTGGGCTTCAGGGGTGGAGGAGCAGCTCTGTTCTTTCAGGGAAGAAGCCGGATTCCTGGGCTATTATTCAAAAATCAAACAACACTAACTCATCTGGTTTGTAATAAGACTTTCCAAAGATGCTGGAGGTAGTGGAGAGGCCGCTGGGGGGTGGGGGTCACCTGGGGCGGGGATGGGATCACCCGTGGTGGGGGGGACACCAGGAAGTGGCTGGTGCCCCTCCTGTGTCTGAGGGAGGCTTGCCTTGCCTTGCCTTGCCTTGCCTTTTTCCTTTCCTTTCCTTTCCTTTCCTTTCCTTTCCTTTCCTTTCCTTTCCTTTCCTTTCCTTTCCTTTCCTTTCCTTCTTTCCTTCCAAACCTTCCCCTCGCCCTCAGGAAAACACACCCGCATCCCTCCAGGCCTGGGGCCTGTCCGGGTGCATCTGGGCTTGGCCCGGGCCCATCCAAGCAGCTGGGGTTCCCCGACTCCTGGGCCAGAGGATGTGGGGGTTTGTAACAGAGCTGCACCCAAACCGTGAGAAGAAGCCACTGACTATTGAAACAAGTTCTAGAAATGTCTGCGGGCTGAGCTAGGGCAGCGGAGGCCAAGGGCAGTGTGGGTGTCAGCTCGGAAGAGGTGGCCTCCTGTCTGTGGTAACAGACATGGGGGCACACAGGGGAGACAGAGTCAGAGAGAGGCAAGCAGGGAGACAGGCCCAAGCCCGGCCAGGAGAGAACCTGTATCAGGACGAGGTCCCAAAGGTGAAGCCCCAGGGCTGCGGGAAGGAGCCGCAGACCTGGCCTCTGCCCCCCAGCCCCCCGCCCCAGCCCACAACCTGCCAGCATGCCGGCACCCCCTAACCTCTGGTGTCCAGCAGGGCCAGGGGCCCGGGCCCGGGCGCCTGCATCCCGGGGGAGGGAGCTGCTCCGGGCACGGCCCTCCCTGGGCCCCAGCTCCGTCTGGCTGTGGATCAGTGAGGATCAGTGGCCAGGAGCACCGCCCCTTCTCTGCGCTCAGACCGCCTCCTTTCCGCCTGCGCCGGTCCTGCTCCGGGAGTGGGGGTGGGGGACTGAGGGCCTGAGTTAGACGGGCGGGAAGGTCCCCCTGGGTTTCCGCTTGGTGCTCACAGGTCACGGCCGCAGAGGGGAGGGACGCAGAGAGCTCACGCTCAGCCCCTGTCGGCCCACCTGCCCCAACAGGGCTCCTGGGGACAGCAGGGTGAGCTCTCACCCAGAGGGTGAGCTCTCCAATGAATGAATGAATGAATGAACGAACACATGCACGCTGCAGGCCGCTGTCATTACCCCCGCCCGTTCACCTTGGCCTGTGTCACACTGTCACTGAGTGAGTGAAATCTCCGGGTTGGATAGGAGCTGCTGGAGGAAGGGGTCCCAGGACCGGTGGCTCGCATGGCGGGGAGGAAAGGGTCTTGTGAAGACCGCTCATGCCGTTTTCAAACTGTCCCAGGAGGCGCGAAAGGCACCCGGCCTCCCTGGGAAGAGAAGGTCGTCAGAAACAACCGTGTCTCTTTTTGTTCCCGTGTTGTTGGCAAACCGTTGACAGTCAGGCAGTTACTTTGCAGTAACACCGAGTGACATGGGGGAGAGGGGCGGGGTGTGGGGCAAGGACCCTGCGTTCCCTGCGCATGCTTCCTTGGGCCGTGGCCCCTTGGACAGCAGCGTGCAGGGATCAGCAGGTGTGAACCTACAAGCCAGGGCTCCCTCCTCAAGGACGTGCCCGGGGGGCCAGCTTTTGGAGCCAGGATGCCCGCTCCCATCATCTCAAGGCATTTCACTGTGGCCCCGAGCGTGACCCTGACCACGTGACTCCGACTCGGAGGGAGTGCTTTGGCCGCTTAGAAGGCTGCCATTCTACAGGGGCCGTCGCTGTGACGGAGAGACCCTCGCACGCATGTGCAGCTCGATGTCCCACATACAACATCACAGCCGTGGGCACAGCCTGAACGCCTGCATCAGGACAGGGCCGTGCTCTGACGCAGACGTGGCCCCACTGGTGGTTGGGACGGATTGATATGAGCGCCACGGGCGTGTGGTGAGTACGAGGGCTTCATGTGGAGTTTCTAAGCCTGAAAAACAATAGTCTTCATTCACTGATCCTCTCAACAGACATCTGCAGAGCACCCGGATCTGTGCACGTGGGAGGCGCGTGGGCCCGTGGACAAAGATCCGAGGAAGCTAGCGTTCTCGTGGAGGAGAGGTGCCGACTGACACATGTAGTAAAGGAGACAAATGCAGAGTAGCAGTACCCGTTTTGGGACAGAGGGACACACACAGGAAGGAAGCGGTGGCAGGAGCCAGCGGGAATTATGTGGTCAGAGTGGGTCTCCTTAGGGAGGGGAGCGCTAAGCCCAGACACGAAGGCTGTGAGGCAGTCAGCGTCGCCACGCGCGTGCAGAGGCCCTGGGGAAGCAGATGGGTCCCGGCGGGGGGCAGGAGGGACACCAGAGGGCTCCGGGCAGGATGGAAGGTCTCGGAGGGTTACCAGGCCCCGGCCTCTACTTGGAGTGACATGAGGGCCAGCGGCCAGGTGTAGATGCCACTGCAGGGTGGCATGCTGCGTGGCAGGTAGAAGCAGAGAGGCTGGTTTAGGGGGTTGAGTCCATGAGACGTGACAGTGGTTTGGGCCAGGTCGGGGCAGCGCAGGCAACGAGCCGCGGCCACAGCAGCCTCACAACACACGGCGCCCGCGTGTGTACAAGCCCGAGGCAGCGTGGACGTGCGGGTACGTGCACGCCAGGCAAGCATGTCCTGGACACCCACGGCAAAACAGCTCCAGAGCAGTGCTCCCTCCTCGTGCGGGAGACAGACGGCTTTCGGAGCCACATCTAGAGACCTTGGCCTCTGCTTGAAAAATCATCTGCCTTTAAAAGGTTAAAAGACTTGAAAAAAATATGGCCTCCCCAGACCACTGTCGTGAGGAGCGGCTGGGAAGGCCGCGGGAGCCATGGCGTTTCCCTCAGCGGCACAGAGGGAGACAGCGGAGCTGCCAGAAAAATAAAGACATTCAGAGACCGGAGAGCGAACCAGGATAATGCGCTTTTATTGTCTGACTTTGCGAAATAGTCTGCGATGAATATTTACGAGAAAAAATAGTCCTTTTTGATAACCCAATTTACTAAAATACAGAAAGAAAGCTAATCAGAGAAAGGCCCTCCCTCACTGAGGACCACAAGGTGCGTGCTCCCCCCACGTGCCTGAGCGTGCTCTCCAGCTTCCGGCACCACGAGGCGTGCTGCAGCCACGAGCCACAGAGCCACACCAGCCCCATCGCCTGCCGCCCCACGGGCTGCGAGTGCTAGGCGCTGTTGTCGCCATTTTAAGTGAGGCACTTGAGGCCCAGAGAGGGGAAGCAAGCAGCACACAGTCACACAGCTGGGAAGTGGCAGGGCCGAGAGCCCAGCCCACAGGCTGGCCGAGGTCATGCCCACCACCCTGCACGGCAGCATGCGCCGAAGTTTGCTGAAAATATGGTTCAGGTGTGTGCTTGCTGCCAGACATGATAGCCTTTTCCCATTAATAAATCTATACAATTTTAGATGCCGATTCAAAACAGGCAAGTGTTAGAAGTTTTTTCCCGGCTGCAGGAGCCCAGCTGGGAAGGGCTGTGGAAGGCGCTCCAGCACCCAGCGGCAACAGCATGGCCTCGATGGGCAACCTGGTGCTGCTCCTCTTTCACAGATGGGGAAAGCGAGGTCCCAGGAGGCTGACTGGGTAACCAAGGTTGGATGCAGAATTCTTCCAAAAGCTGCGTGTGTAACTGCAGGGAGGGTCAGAATTCACTCCTTAGACCCCTCCCTGTGAGGAGCCCCTGCCAGTGTGACCACCCGGTGTGACAGGGCATCAGCTCCTGTGCCGACTGCACCGATGACAACTGACCCAGGGGCCTGCAGCAAGCCCACCTCTGCAGGGAGTGACAGTCTGGCATCTGGGAGTTTGTGGCTTCGGTTTTGTTTCTAACATGACAGAGAGAGCACAAGTGGGCCAGGGGCAGAGAGAGAGGGAGACACAGAATCTGAAGCAGCTCCAGGCTCTGAGCCATCAGCACAGAGCCCGACACGGGGCTCGAACCCACAAACCGTGAGATCATGACCTGAGCCAAAGTTGGACGCTCACCTGACTGAGCTCCCCAGGCGCACCAGATTGGGGAAGTTTTTAAATGTAATTTAATTTAGCTGTCACTAAGACAATTAAGGGGAAATCTGTCCTCTTCCTGTCTGAAGATAATCAAGGGACAGGACAGATCAGTACTGAATTAAGAAGATAATTTAGACACACCCACACGCCTGCCAGGAGCTCAGTCCTGGGATGTGGCTGCGCCCCTGAGGAAGACCCAGGGCGGAAGGTGGGGGGCGGCAGCCCCATGAGAAGGCGAAGACGGTGATGTCACACATGAGTAACCAGGTGACAGTGACAGTGAAAGGGGGCAACAGAGGAAAAGTCAGAGAACGCGGAGAGCCCGGAGCGCCGGCCCCAGAAACCACAGGAAGGGCTGGGCCCTGAGTCAGCACAGGCAGGTCTGGCATCCATGATTGGGTGTATGGGAGAAGGGCCCACGGTCCGGAGTCCCTGAGTGATGCAATCATGCTGTGAAAAGGTGCTGTGTGGTCCCAGGTGTTTGGAACCCGTAGTTCAAGATGTGTGACCTTGAGTGGAGATGGAGACCTTGGCGGAGACTCTGCCTTCATGGGCTGTTTGCCGTGAAAAACGGGAGCCAGAAAAGCCAAGACAAAGGAAGGTGGGGTCCGGGGGGGAAGGGGTCTGGGGGTGCAGGGCCGCTCACAGCCTTCTATCCCCCACGTCTTCTGTGTTCCCCAAACCCCTGGACACGCAGCGCAGCTTCCTGTCCGTCCATCCTGCCACCCCCAAAACCATGGAGTCTTTTGCCCTTGACCCTCGGGTGCTAACATGGCAACAGGGCAACCTGGGTTAAAACTGGGAACCTCGGGCCGGGGAAGGGGCGCTTGGGGTCGGGGAGGGAGGCGGGGCCCAGTCAGCTGAGCACCTGCTCGTGATTTCCGCTCTGGCCATGGTCTCAAGGTTCATGGGTTTGAGCACTGTGTCGGGCTCTGTGCTGCCAGTATAAGGCCTGCCTGGGATTCTCTCTCCTTTTCTCTCTCTCTCTCACTCGCTCTCTCTGCCCTTCCCCCACTCTCTCTCAAAATAAGTAAACAAATAGACATTTTTAAAAATTGAGAACACAGTTGCCAGCAAGTCCAAGTTTACAAACTCACGCCTACTAACGTGGCCACTGCCACTGAACTGAAGATGGAGGAGCAGCGTCCCAGCTCCCCGCCCCTCCCTCTCCCACACAGTCACTTGTGCAGAAAAGCAACTTGTGAGCAGCTCGTCCGTCTTCAGGGTGAGCGTGAGGGTACGTGAGTCCACGGGGCGAAGACTCGGCAGCTGACCGGCACTGGCTTGGGGTTGACAGCTGGCCCGGCCGGAGGAGGCGAGCCCGGCCACGCGGCAGCCCAGCTGGCACTCCAGGCGCTAGTCGCAGACTCTTCTCTGCTGGGCGAGGGAGGTGCTTGGCCGGTTTCACGTCCCTGACGAAGAGTCTGAGATAAACGGTTCTTCTTCGCTCCCCCTGGGCTGTGAAGGAACAGTGTTAACAGGAGGTGGCATTTCCTCTCCTTTGTAAGACACGCTCAGCAAATCGCACCGGCTGACCAAGGTTTAGCAAATTGTCATGTTAACCATTATGACACCTGCACTTTTTTATAAAGCAACTAATTTAATAAAATCACTATTGTGCGCGCAAAGATATGAAAGCGGCTGTGACAGAAGCATGCTGTTCTCCCTAACACCAACCTCCCTGCTCAGGGCGACATGCTGTGGGGTCCCCCAACCTCCCTGTGTGGACGCAGGTCCCGCGAGCCCCCAGAAACACCCGCGCCTCCCCGGAGCACCTCCCCAG